GTCGCCCCCCTCAGCCCCAGGTGGCACGGGCGGCAAGGCCGATGGAGGCCCCGTGCCTTCTCCCTTCGGGCCCTTGTTGATGCCAAAGAGCCAGGACATAGCCCGTGAGCACCGCGCGCCGCAGAAGCCCACGCGAGGCAGCCCTCACTGTTAGAAAAAGCAGCCACGCTAGGCGAACAGGCGACCAGAAGCACTGCGCAGACGCAACACACACCCGCTTCCTTCCGGGCTACCAAGCGCGTGAGGGCTACGCCGTGTAAAGCTCTGGGATTGGCCGCGAGGACAGTGACGCCATCAGCGTCAGTGGCGCGTCCGCCCAGCCGGCTCTGCGGAGCGACGGGGTGCCCGGTTACCGGGGCCAACCAGGGACAAACTTATCCCTGTACCCTGGGCAGCGTCAGTTTCGTTTAGTGGGAGTGCTGTGTCCTGTTGCTACAGGTGCCGAGCAGCTCGCCGATATGTAGTAGTTTAGGGGCTCTAGTTGCGTGCTGTCTGGATGCCGCCGCAGTGAGTTCTGGACCAGGAGGGAAGCGGCAGGTTTGGGGCTCAGAGTTCACTCTGGACCGGTCTGGACGTGAGTACTCCACCTGGAGAGAAGGGCCGGGCCCCGCGATCTGGGAGCCCCGGGCCTCTCGCCGGCCCCGCCGTGACTCTGCGGCCGCAGAACCTCTCGCGGTCTGGACCCAGGAGTCACACCGCGCTGGCCCGGAGTGGGAAGCAGCCGGTCCCAGGCCAGGTTTCTGAACGGATGGAGGGCGGGCCTGAGAACGAGCCTCCCCGCAACATGTCCCCATCAGGGTCTCCGAACGCAGAGGCTCTTGGCTGCGCTGGCCTTTGCATTACAAGCCCAGAATATGGAAAAGGAGCAGCCTTCTAAAGCCCTCGCCGAACTGGGGACCTCGCGCTTGCCAGGCGCACGCGGTGCCACTGAGCTAAATCCCCAGTCCTAGGAGTCTTCTCTTTGCGAGCCCGCGAGGCCAGAGCCTGCTTCGGGGACACAGGCAGGCTGGACCCGCAGGAGGCAGAGCAGACCAGGACGGATGGCAGGCAGGTGCCACGCGGGAACCCAGGGTCGCAAGTGGGCAAAGGCTGTGTCTCAGTCCCAGGCTTCCTTGACGGAATTGGTTGAGTTCTTGTAATTTTGTGAAATGACTTTTCCCAGTACCTGAAAACTTTTTTTTTGCTTTGTTTTTGTTTTTATACTGGAGATTGGACCCCGGGCCTGGCGCCTGCTGGGCAAGCGCTCTGCTACTGAGCAACATCCTCTGTCCCTTTTTAAACTTTTGAAACAAGTTTTCACTGAATTGCCCACTTGGGCCTTGGCGGTCTTCCTCCCTCAGCCCCTCAAGTAAGTGGAATAACAGGCCCATATCACCGTGTCAGCTATTGAAAACAATTTTTAGCCTAAATAAAAATAGGAAAAGCCTGGCATGATGGCACACACCTGTAATCACAGCACTTGGGAGGCTGAGGCAGAAGAACCACTGAAAGTTTGAGTACAACCTGGGCTTACATAGTGAGTTCAAGGACAGCCTGAACTCTACATGACAAGACCCTGTCTCAAAAAAAACAAAAACTAGGCAAAGGTTTTAAATTGTGAGATAATCAATTTTGTGACACACACAGACACACCTACAAAGAGAAAAAACAAGTGAATCTCTCAATAGAAGCCCCATAGTGGCCATCACCAAGGATTTTTATGGGCTCCCTGCAAACAGCACCCAGAAGGGTGAAGGCCCAGATGGACGAGTCCCCAGGTCCCTCTCCACACATTTGGCAAACTGCCCTTTTTTTTGGAGGGTACCGGGGATCAAACTCCACACCTTACCCTTGTGAGGCAGGCAACAGAACCAATGAGCTAAATCCCTGGCCTGGCAAACCATCTTTTTGTTTTGTTTTGTTTTGTTTTGAGACTGGGTCTCACTATGTAATTGAGACTGATGTGGAACTCACTATGTAGCCCAGGCTGGTCTTGAACTCACAGTGATCCTCCTACCTCGGCCTCCCGAGTCCTGGGATTACAGGTGTGTACCACCTCGCCCGGCTTTGTCCTTTATAAAGCTCTGCATTTTAAGAATTTCATTTAACTTGGTTTAATTTGAAAAGTGCTGATTACTATTTTAAGAATTTGGAAATTGAAAAAGAGAATAGAGGTATAGCCCCTCCCTCTGGACAGGGAGCTGCACAGCTCTGATGAAATCTGTCCACTGGAGTTTGATACTTAAAGTCTTTGATCATTGGGAAGACAGACACATCCTTCCTCAAGACACTAAACTAAGGGGAGGGAACCATGACAGGCTTTCTGCCTAAAGCATGTTTATCCAGTGAACAAAGTGAGGTTCTCTGCTGCTGAGGCTCTGCTGTTGGCTGTGGGCTCCTTCCTGACCTTCCAAACATGCTGGGGCTCCAGCATTGAAGATCTGCAAGAAAGACTGCAGAGGTTACAGATGACCTGAGCCCAGACAGGGGTTCCACAGCTGCCTTGGAGCCCAGGCTAGCAGGACCAGGTGACTTAGCAGGGCATGCACCCGGCCTGGTCTGTGTATCCTTCCGGTGTGGTGTGTGACCCCCCCGCAGACCCAGGCTTCCTAGCATGTGGCTGCAGCCTGTCCTGCCTGCTGTCTTCCCTAGACAGTGCCTGTCTCCGTAGACCTGGAACCCCTTGTGGGGTCCACGAGGTCACTGCTGCCCCTGACATCACCCTGCAGGCCCATCCTCCTGGAGCAGCCCAGCCTTGGAGAGTGAGGGGCTGGTCCAATCCTGCTGTGCTTGCTTGGTGTTCTCACTGTCCCTTTCCCTCCTGACCTACTTGGCCCAGTCTTGCCCATAGTCACCCATCAGCAAGCTCTCTCCATGCCTGCTAGCAGGTCCACAGCTTCTGTGCCCCCTTAGCAAACCCCAGCTCATCAAAAGAAAGGTTCCCAGCCAGGCCTTGCCCCCCCCCCCAGGCTGGGACCCTGTGCTGTTGATCCCCATCCTACATACCAAAGAAGGTTCCTGGCTCCTGTAAGGCTTAGGAGACTCATGGTTCCTGCTGGGCCCAGGACTGTAGTGACCTTGAACTAAGCCCAAATCCTGTGGGCCCCTCCTCCAGAGCTCCCCATAGCTGTGTAGCTTGTCTGCCATCTTAGACTCATGGCCACCAAATATGCTGTGAGCCAGCCCACTGGGAGGCCCTTGTGACCATCCCTCTACCCAGGAGATGCCCTCATGGGGGTGTGGCTGGCCTTGGAACCCGAGAGGCAGTGGCCAGTGGCTGATGGCCCAGGCCACAGAGAAGATGGCTTTGGCCCCTCCCTGGGCAGTTCTGTGACCCCCACACCTGAGCACCAGAGCAATGGTGCTCTCCTGTGGCTGTCCTGCACACTCTTAACTGTACTCTGGTGGGGCAGGGGCCTCTTCCTTGAACAGCTCCAGTATAGCATGGAGAGATCATTTGTGGTGAGCTCACTGACACGTCTGACATGGGAGATGATAGTGTTGGGGGCCACAGTCCCCTACTTCCCCTACTCATGGGACTTGAGCCCCCATGTCTTAGGTCCTCTAGCCCAGGCTGGGACCCCTGGATCAGTGTCTTCCTGCCTTCACCATCCTTACCTTACCATCTTACTTCCAGGGATGGGGTCACCTCCATGGGCTTGTTCTTGTCTTAAAGGATATTGAAAAAATCATCTTCACAAAACTGTTGCACCTGAGCTTTCATTTTCCCACAGGCTTTTCTCCCAGACAGGAGGCTGCACCCAGGGCTGTACTCCTGGGTATTGACCACTTTTCCCACTGTCACAGTGGAAAAAGCCCTGCCCCAGTGGACCTGCTCAGCTCTCAACTAGACACCCTACTTCCTGGAGGTCATATGGTCTTTTCCAAACACCTTTGTCCCAAGAGCTTCAAGAGCAGGACAGCTGACGTGGCCATCAGTCTTCTGGACCAATCTGACCGCACCCTTGGTCTGTGCATCTCTGCAGCTGTGCTCCACAAATCAGAGTGGCCAAGGGCATTGGTCCCTCATCACACCCTGGACCACAGCATGACAAGGAGTCAAAGCCAGGATAATTTTCAGCAAACAGGAGCAGGGGTAGGGGGGCAGATCTGCTTCCTGGAGACATTTCTGAGGGAAGCTCAGATCCAGAGATTTAAGAAATGCTCAAGATAGCACAAAGGGAGGCCCCCAAACGAGGGCACAGAGGGTGTAAGCCACACTCCCCCACTGCCTCTGAGCAACTGTTGGCCTTGGAGTCCAGATGAGATGGAGCTGGAGCCCAGGCAGGGAGGGACATGAAGCAGAGTCCCGGCCCGCTCTGCCATCTTGGGACTATGGGCACATTTTGGGAAGAGGCCTTCATACAGCTTCCTCCCTCCCTCCTCTCACCACTGGGAGACCAGAGTAGGGCACTGCCTGCCTGGAGGGAGTTCTGCCCCCCAGGGAGGTGGGGCCCACACCCCATCCTGAAACCCTGCTTGGGATCTGCTGGCTTCAGGCTCTAGACCATGCTGAAGTCACAAGTGTCCCTGAGCCCACTGGGCGCCTATCTGCTGGCCAGCAGGAGGCTGTAGGGGCCCAGGTAGCCCTTCTGGGCCTGGCTGAGGAACCCAGCTCCAACACCACCAGGGACCTCTGCTTACACAGGCAGGACGAGGCCCTGTCACATTGTCACACATGCAGGCAAACCCTGGGCTCATGGCAGTACTGTCTTGGGAAAAAGTGGCAAGCAGGCTCTTGGGAAAGCTGCCTCTGTGCACATGCAGATGTGTGGATATGCACACGTGTTCACGCACACACTCGTACACACGATGCTTAAGAGCCAGACAGCCCCTCACAACCCTGTGTCTCAGATTCACCAGGATAGCAAAGTAGCCACAGTGAAAGGCAAGGCTTTGCCAACAGGGTGCCAAGCAGGGACCCATGGAACAAAAGTGATGGCAACTGCCCTGGAGAGCCAGCTGGCTGTCCTCCAAGTTCCAGCACCTACCCCAATCCAAAGATTAAGTCATGGACCACAAAGGTGGGCCCGAGCTCTGAAGAGAAAGCCAAGTATTGCACCTCCTGCCTTCCATCACCCACGGGTGGCACCCTGGACCTCTCGTGTCACCCATCCTCAGCTGAAGTGTTGTAATGAGGAGTAAAAGCACTCAGCGAGATCACAGGCTTGGCTTGCATCTGATTTACTGTGTTTGGGAGTCTGATCATTAGTGAGGAGAGAGGCCAACTGGGCTCAAGCAGCAGCAGGTGACCCTCAGAGCACAGGCGCTGTCCAGGTGAAGGGAAACCCAAAAGTACAACCGGTGGGATCAGACAATGTTGAACTTGCTGCAGTGACTCCTGTCCCCCAATCTGTCTGTGACCCTGTGAACAGTGGCCTTGGAGCCTGGCAACAGCAGGGGTGGGAGGCTCCTGTCCCCAAGGCCCTGAATGCCAGGCTGTGGTTCCATCCCTCTGGGGCTGGGGGTGGAACAGTCTGGCCTAGGGGCTGCTGGGGCTGCCCAGTCAGGTCCCCACTGATGCTGTCCTCCAGGCAGCCAGGATCCTGGTGAAGCCCCCCGCTCTTCCTTTTCTGCAGGGAGTTTTTGGGGCCCCCATGCCAGCTTCTCCTTCCCTTCCTGTCCACTTTCTTTCATAGGGGACTCTAGTGCCATGGCCCACTTCAGGCCCCTTTCCACTGAGGGGCCGGGCTGCAGCCTCCCCTCCGGGCTGGGGTGGTCAGGCCTGTGGTTCTCAACCGGTCCTCAGGCTCCTGTCCGTGCACCCCCAACTGCGGCCGGAAGGGCCACGCGTGGGGGCTCTGGTGGGCTCAGAGCTGGGGGCATGGGCCGTGGGGCACGGCGGCGCTCGCTGGCAGGGGTGCAGGCCTTGGCCGACAGTGCCCTCTCGCGGCCGGAGCGAAAGGCGGCGGTCACGGTCACCAGGTAGGCGGTGCCGGGCGCCAGGCCTTGCAGCGTGGTGCTGTTGCGGCCCGCAGGCACCTCCACTCGCTGCGCCACGCCGCTCTGCAGCGGCCCGAACTGCACCACGTAGCCGAGCATGACGTCGGGCCCGAGCGCTGGGGCCCAGCTCACGCGGAGGCTGTACGGCCTGACGTGCGAGATGACGACGCGCTCGGGCCCGGCCTCACCTGTGGGGAGAGGGCGGTCAGTGGAGCCATGGGTAACCCTGCGCCCAGCCCTGAGCCCCGCCCCGGGCCTCACCTGGCAGCGTGCGCACTCGCACGCGCTGCGGCGGCAGCAGGCGCACGTTGGACTCGGGCAGCAGGGACACCTCGTAGTCTGTGTCTGGCTCGAGCCCCGCCCAGGTCCAGCCCATGGAGTACCCGGGGAGCTGCTGGCGTCGGATGGCCCCCAAGTTGCCGCTGGGTGCCAGCTCCAGCACGTAGTAGCCAGAGTCTGCAGGCAGCAGTGCCGGCCAGGCCAGGTGGACACTGCTGGAAGTAACCTCAGAGGCGTGGAGCTGCTGCGGCTGCATGGCATCTGCGGAGGGTGCAGAGGTCAGGGGAACAAAGTGGCCTCCTCCGAGCCAGAGGGTGTCCCTGGCTGACCCAGGAAAGGCAGGGAGATTAGAGGTATCCCAGGAGAACAGGTGGGGCTCATTAGCTGTGCTGCCCCAACCTGGGCCCCACCAGGAACTTCCCTGCCTCACCCCCAAACCTAGACCTGATGGTGAAGGTATAGTGGCCACTCCGCATATAGACCGGTGGCCTGGACGAAGGTCCCTCAAAGGTGGCAGATCCTATGGTGCTGGCTGGTAAGCCCAGACCACCCCCCCAAGGCTGAATGGCTGGCACCAAGGTCTGGGATTCTCCAGGCTCTGGACAGTTAGGCAGAGGGGGACCAGACATGCAATTAAGAGATGGAGGGGAGGCCCTGGGGTCAATGATAATCCCCAGAGCAGTGGGAGGTGGGATTCAGGGTGCCAGGGCCCCAGAAACTAGTGCAGACAGGCCAGAGTGGAACCTTGAGCCTGTGACGCCAGGTGCCACATGGCCACATTAGGCTGGCCAGTGTCTGGGCTGGGTCACAGCCATCCAGGTCACAAACTTCCTCTTCATTACTGCTTGGTGCCAGCCCATCCCTCCACTCTGCCCACAGTCCCAGGACCCCCTAACCCACTGACTACCCCCGTCCCTTCCAGGCTCAGCTGTCTGGTGGGGTCAGATGTCCCTGAGGCAGATCTTGGGGAGGACCCTCCAACTCCTTCCAGTCCACAAACCAACCCCTTCCAGCTCAAGGTGTATGATTAACCCGCCGGCCACCAGGCCTCTTGTCTCCAGCCTGGCCCCTTCTGAGGTTCAGAGAAAAGCCAGGGGTGCTACTTGGCACCACAGCAGTGTGCCTCCTCCCTGACAGTCCCCACAAGAAATCCTGCCACGGCTGTCCTCACAGGGAAGGGCCTGAGCCCTGAGGGAGGCAGCCCCTGACCTCTCTGGCTGTCCCCTCCCTAGGCATGGTAGGCCTGGCAAGCCAGTCAGCCTTTGGGCAAAACTGGCAGAGTCCCAGCCTGGGCACCTCCTTCCTTTCCACACCACTTTGTAGCTCTGATATTGGCATCTGGCATCTGGAGGTGGCCTCTCAGGTCTGGCCCTGTCTCTCCACAGCCCAGGTGGGATCCAGGAGAGGGTTCTATGGGCAGCCCCCAGAAAAGCTGTGAGCCACACACCTCCCACTGTGCTCTTGGTGTGGGCACGAGCCCCCTGAAGTGTCACCCCAGCCTCCTACAGCCCTCCTACCGAGGATGGAGCTGCGAAGCTGCTGGGCAATGATGTGCAGGTCATCCACGTCCACAAAGCGCAGGTGCCTCTCCGCAGGTGCTGAGGCAGCAGCCGACAGCTCCAGCAGGTTGCCCCTGCCAGTGCTGACAATGAAGACAGTGACACCCAGGTCCTTGAGCTCCTGCATGGGGGGGCCTATGGGGTCGCTGGAGCCTCCGTCTGTCACCCACACCAGTACCTTGGGCACCCCTGCCCGGGCACCTGTGGCCTCATCAAACAGCTGCTCCTTGGCAAATGCCAATGCCAGGCCAGTGTTGGTGTCACCCATACGCTGGGCTGAGGCACGGATGGCATCCTGGACGGCCTGACCTGAGCTGTGCCGGTCGAACGGGAACTCAGAATGTGGCAGGCTGCCCACGTGCACCAGGCTGGCACGCAGGGCCTCAGGGCCCAGGGGCAGTGGAGCCACCAGCTGCCCCACAAACTCCCGGACCCGGGAGAACTCATAGTGTGACACGCTGGCCGAGCTATCCAACAGAAACAGCAGGTCTCCCCGAGGGACTGATGCTGGGGGACCTGTGAAAAAGGACAACAGTTCAGACTCACTTTGAGGCCAAACATGCACTCATGCCCAGGGCACAGGCTTTTCTAAAACAAGTACTTGGGTCCTGGGGATGGTACCCCAGGGACAAGAGTTCTGAGCCAAACACGAGGCCCACATCCCTCCTGTGTTCCATCTCTGCAAGTGTTCAGGGTGCAGGGTGGCCGAAGCAACCTGACTGGCTCTGTCCATGCGTGGAGGGTTGCTGGCCCTCCACGCATTCAGCACACAGAGCAAGCAGCTGGAGGAGGCCTCCAGGAGGGCCCTGTTCCCTTAGGCTGGACTTCAGAGAGGTGTTTTCAGACTGGGGTTCTGCCCCAAGGCTCAGCCTCCAGAGAGGGCGGGAGCAGGGGTGCAGGAATGGGGGAGGTGGAGCACTGGACACAGCTCCCCCTGCCCAGATGGCGGGCTGGAGCCCTGACCCCACGTATGGATGATGTCACCTCAGTCTGGTCCTAGAAACTGCGATGTGCAAGCGCACGCACGCACACACTCCGCGCGGCCGAGGAACCCCCTTCCTTCTGGGAGCCTCCACTACTGAGCTGCAGAGACCCGACCTTGGGGTTCCCCAATTCGATGGGGCGATTTCAGCCCTCCCACCACCTCTCTCTCTCCTGAGGGCCCTTCCAGACGCATGGAAACAGGCAGAGCAGTCTCCCAGACAGACACCTCGGTCTTGGCGTCTAGGACCGCTCGGCGGTGCACCTGAGCGCATTCGCCCGGTTCCCGCGGCCTCCGCGCCCACCCGCCCCGTGGCTCCTAGGACAGCGGCCGTCCGGCGTGGACTGCGAGGCCGAGAGGCCTCG